AACATTTTCTTGTTCATCTGATGGCAAATTGGAAGGAAAGATACTGCCAGGCTTGCTGTTGCACCAACAGTGTCGTAGCTGCCTGCTACCATGACTTTATGGTGAAGTGTTACAGAGAGGTAGTTGATCCTACTGCTTAACAGGAGTAGAAAGTGCATAAAGCTGCAAAGCTTGATCTGTGTATGGGCACTACTCAGGCAGGTTGCCCGCTTATGGCTGCTTACCTTTTTCCTCAACAGCCTCAGAAGATGAAGGAATTATGGTCCACTTCTGGAATGACAAGAAAGTCAAACTCCCGCGAGGTGTGGCTCTCTGGATCCCTCCTAGCCTGTGGGAAAGGATTGTAGAGATGATCCATATGCCCTTCACCAGCAGGGTGAAGCCCAGAGAAATTCCAGAGACTAACTGTTGTATTTGCTCCTACAGTCCTAAAACAGCCCTGATTCCCATTTGTGCTGTACATAGCCTTGCCAAGCACTGCTTGCTCTGCTCACCCTGCTGGCCATGTTTCCACTTTCACTGTGATTGTATAAGCTGTTTGTCAGCATATGTAAGCATCTGCTGCTGTCATCCTCATGTCAGTGCCTGGTGGCCTCTTCCATCCAGGCATCTGGTATTTCAAAGTGAAACAGAAGAGGTAGAGTCCAGCAGTCAGCCTCCTCCATGCCTTCTAGAACCAAAAAGCCCAAAACCAGAAGCAGCAGCAGCTGTGGCACCATCTTCTGCCTCTTCTGATTCAGAGTGGGACCTGGAGCCATTCACCACTCAGAATACTGTGGTGGACAGTGCTGTTAACACAGGCTTCGGCTGTCTTGAGAAGCCCAGGCTAAAGGATTCTGCAAGACCTGAGTGGAAATACTGGAAAAGAAGCCACCACAAGTCCCATCCCAGTAACTCAGGTACTTTTTGACACCCTCACAGGCAAGCAGCAATCAGAGGGGAGAAAAACCCAAAATGTGTTCTGGTCTTCTGAGCAGTTACTTAGCCTTTAGCTTATTGGTATAAATGCTGTAAATTTAGCAGTCTCTAACACAATAATTCCCCCTCCTCAATATTTCTGCTGCCTCATCTTGCATGCTAGCTCTCCTTTTAGCATATAATCCAATGGAAAACTACCAGAACATGAATTTCAGTTAGAAGCTGTCCTGGGTTCAGCAGTAGCAGTCCTTTTTTCTCCTTCTTAGTAGCTGGTGCAGCGCTGTGTTTTTGACTTTCGGCCTGGGAACAGTGCTGATAACACCCATGGTTTTAGTTGCTGCTCTAATGTTTAGTCTGACCAAGGACTTTCTGAGCCTCATGCTCTGCCAGGGAGGAGGGGAAGCTGGGAGGAAGCAGAGACAGGAGAACTGACCCAAACTGACCAAAGAGGTATTCCATACCACAGCACGTCATGCCCAGGATGTAGAACTAGGGGCTAGATCACTGCCGGGGTCGGGCTGGGTATTATTGGTCGGCGGGTGGTGAGGTGCTGTATTCTCTTCACTTGTTATTTCCTTTATCATTATTATTATTATTGGTAGTAGCAGTATTGGTTTGTGTTATACCTTAGTTACTGGACTGTTCTTATCTCAACATGTGGGAGTTACATTCTTTCAATTCTCTTTCCCATCCCTCCGGGAGCCAGGGGAAAAAAAGCCGGGAAGTGAGATTGCGACTGCGTGATTTACAGCCGAGCTTAAACCATGACAGAAGCATAGATATCCCTCTCTGAGTTTGTTCCCCATCATTTCCCTACACTTTGTATGATGCTGACATCTTCATTAACCTTTGCTAGTACATGCAGAATAACCTTTTAAGCTTAAAGTGCATTTCCCTCTCTTTTGAAATTAATGTTTCCCTATTTCAGTTCTGGTTTCATTCTCAGATACAATTTTATTCCTTCCCAGGACTTGTCAGTTGCAGCAGCACATGTGCAAAGAGCAAGCTGGAACCCAAAGACATCTCTACTGGGGACACGTTCAGTGTTGCCTCTACTAATCATAGTGCAATGTTTGAAACCATCGAGCAGTCTTCCAGAGGGCAAGTCACAATGAAAGAAATCTTAAGAGACCAAGACTTCAAGCTGTCAATGGAGGTAAGGTAATCTGTATTAATACTGGATTTATGTAAACACAGGGTTTGTCTGAATGGAAGAAATATACTTGTTAATGGTCTGAAAGTTGGTTTTTAACTGCTTAAGGCCATCTACCAGTTTTGTGATAAGCAGGACACTTCTCCACTAATAGAAACAAAAGGAAGGTCCCAAAACCCTAAGGAAGGGCTGAAGCCTACTTGGTAAAATGCAAAAGATTATGTTGGTAACTGTGTGAGCATTCAGTAATGCAGATTTCAATTCAGAAACCTGCCAAATGCCCATTGACAACATCATCCCCACGGAGTCCTGTGTAAGTAGGGGCCTACATGAGTGGCCTTGGGAATGGACAGATATGAGTGTCAGCAGCAATAAAACAAAAGAAAAGATTCAATGTGGAAAGGTACTGGGCTCTGCCTGTCAGACTCTGATAGTCACAATCTCAGTCTCTGAAAGATAAAACCAGTTTGTTTTGTTTTTTAATAAGCAGCCTTTATTGAATATCTTTTCTTACTGCGTCACAAGAAGCAAGCAGTTTAAACAGCATATCCCTACCATGAAGCTAGGGGATGCAGAGAAAGCAAACTATGTAACAGCTGGGAACAAAGACAACCACCAGATTTTTAGGCCTGGTTGCTGTTGGCCATGGTCCCCTTCTGCTTTAGAAAATTGGGGAAAAACAACCCAAACCAGAATATGAATGCCAAAGAAAGCAAGCACAGAAAAAGGGAAGAAAAAAGCTTGCAGGAAGAAGGGGAAGACAAAAGAGAAGTGTAGGATGTACAGAAACACCTCCTGCACAAGAGCAACAGGAGTACCATTAAGAAATTATATATTAAAAAAATCAAATATTAGCTTCTCTGTAGCTTCATGCTTGCTACTGTGAGCTTACTGCAGAATAAAACATGCTAAACTTCCATGATTTTCTTTAAAAGATTAATGTGTTAATGATGTGTTAGTGAGCAGAGAATGTACTGGAATATATCTTATATGCATTCATTTTAAGCAGTTGCCTATGGACTATATGCCATACTATATATGCCTATGCCATACTAACTGTATGGTTCTACTTTACTATTTCAATCATCATAGTTCCACACCTTTGTAATTGATTTCCTAAGAATTTTTAGGCCAGCGTGGAGCTCCAGTGCATGAAAGTGACAAGCTTTGCCTCTTGGTAAAACTGAAAGAAACTAGAGTGGTTTTATTCTAGCCACAGATAGGCTGCATGAATCACAGTAGTGGGCTCAATGTGGTAACACAGAGTATGACACACTTTTATTCCTGTAAAATAGCCCTTGGTGTTTTTAAACCCAGAAGACACATTGCTACTCTTTGAGATGGCTGAAGCAGTTTTAACGTATAATACAGACTGTATCAGAAGTAACTCACAGAAAGAAGTGAAGCTAGACAGCAGGCTTCCCAGAGATGTTCTCTGTGGGGTTACTATCCTCCTGCTCTAGTCACCAAAAATCCTCCTAATTTCTAAAGGAGCAAAGTTTTTGATCAAAGCCTAGCACCTTATGAAAATCCTTTGGTCTCTTCTGTGTTTCAGCAGTAGCCTGTACTAGCACAGAAATGACAGCATTATTAAAGCTGCATGAGGCAGAGGTACCTATCTTACAGCAGCAGTTACAAAGACACTGATGCTTTTTCTTTTTTTAGACTAGACTTCCAAAGGATCTGTTTTCTGTCCGCCAGGAAGAAGGTTTTGAGGCATCAGAAAAACAAAGATATAAAACAGCAAGAAAGAAAATAGAGTTGGATGATAAACATAAAGCAACCTACATACAAGATGACAAACTTGACGATACAGACCATGTCAGAAGAGAACAGACAGAAAAATCAGTAAAGAGCTCACTTGCAACAGAACAGAGAGACACAATCAGCCAGAACTCAATAAAAGTACAACTGATGAAGCTCGGAAGCTGAAATCTCAGGTAAACTGCTTATACTAGATCAGTGTAGCATTTATTAACCAAGTCAGGTTCTAATTCGGGTACTGTGTCTGTAGACTATGAATAACTGTAAAATTTTAATATCTGAGAAAGTCTATATCTACACACACTGTATGTGTGTAATACTGTAATTTCATCATCCTCATTCTTTACTCCAAGGTACTGAATGAAATTCCTAATTATTTGGACTTGACTTTACAATTCTAGAGAGATCAGGTAAACTAGTGTGAGCGCTGAGACCCTGAACAGATGCACAGCAAGGTCTAATAAACCTCCAATTTGTCTACAGTTCTCTGGAGTCAGCCAGAGGAATTCAGCATAGTGATTTCTTCTTGTAGAAAGCCAGAAGAAATGAAGAAACAATAAAAGCTGACAGCTGAAAATATTTTTTTCAATATTAAAGCACAAAAGAAAGTAGCCAGAGGGTAAAGGACCTGCTACTGTAGATACAAACAACAAAATGCTTAGAGATCTAGCATTCAAGTTGGTGAATTTTATATTCCCATGAAAATTAATTGAAACCTGAATACCATCAGCTACAAAAAGATTACAGATATATATAGATCGTGTCACTAATTCTGATTGTGAAATCTGATCCTTCAGAAGAGTTAAGCATCCAGGGAGTCTTGTTAGTATGAGACTCCTCATGTTTAAAGTGTATGAACTTGGCCATAAGCTGCAGCATGCAGTGGCTCAGCACTACCTATACTGTACACCTAATGCACACTAAAGCACCTTTCTGAGTTGGGGGGGTCCTAGATAGTGAATCTCATTTGCATTTTATTTCTTTATCAGAATAATAAAATTACAGATAGGAGAGATGCATTGTGAGCCAGCTGCTCTACAATCAGCACCAGCCCACAGAAGTTGATGCACATCCATATTCATACCACATGGATTATCTTTTCTGTGGTCAGAAATATGTCATAGACATTCTGCCTGAGGATAATATTAAAGAAGCTGTCACCATAAAGACTAAATAATGTATTTTATTCCACTGATTGTATCTTTAATTGTTTAAAACATAAGAACCTAGAATTACAAGTCACATAATTAGATTTAAGGCACACAATGTACAAATATCTATCAAATCAGTGTACAAAGTGGGCTGCATAAGATTGCATTAAGTAGAAAACAAATGCACAGGTCATAAAAATGGAGTTGCAAAGACGAGGATACTATTAAAGTGCTAACAAGAAAAATATATTCATAGTTCATTACATGCATTAAAACAGTCTCATATTTTATTCCTGTGATTGCCAAGGAACAACAAATGTCATAGAACAAAAGTTAAATCAATACTTTGCCCTGCATGGACATCCACCATGTGGGTTTGTTGCACCATGTCTTCTGAGGTTGCTGTGACAGAATAGAAGCCAGGAGAAACTTCAATGTAGATGTCTTCAGAACCTTGTCTGGCCTTTGGAGACAGGGAGAAAATAAGTTTCATTACTGTTTAGTCATCTAAGATTTCTTATGAAAATATACATTTTTATTTTGGGTAAAAAAAATTACATTTCAGCTGCTATGTAAATATACTAAGATTTTTAGAATATACAGGCACCATGGACAGAACTGTAAAATTTTTTTGTCAATACAGAAATAGGCAAGTACCATGCTCAAAGTATTTTATCTAATGTTTCAGTCAGTAGAATAAGCAACATGCTGTAATCTCTGCCCACAAAACTGACAGTTGCCAGCCTAAATGGTTTTGTACATAAACCTGGAACATAATCTCTACAAGGGTGCTCCCACTAATGTGTACAGTGGTACGGAGTCCATGTTTCTCATCTTTTGTGGCTCAGAAGTTCCTGAAATTGATTTGGTGGGGTGTTAGGCTTTGAAAAATAAAGTTTTCCTCTCCTTGAGGAACAGGAGTCTTCAGAGGGACTGTACGAGGGCCAGCCGTAACTGGCTAAGCAAGTGCTGTGTGCCCTGCTGCGTGCCTTTCCTCAGCACAGGGAATGTGTCAGGAGCACAAATGAGGTGAGACTGGAGAACTGTTGGATTATTTCTGCTGATACAATTCACAAGAGCCTAAAGATTAATCATGGTGTTTGACATTCTGTACCAGTCCAAGGTGTCAAGTAGAGTCTTAACTGGTTATGTGCCAGAATGCCACAATCTGGTTTGTAATTAATTGTGAGAGTGTCTGTATGCCCATTTTACTGCCCATCTATAGGATTGTGAGTCCACCACTGGTTAATATTCTACGCCATCGCAAAGTTCACTCACCTGATCACAAATTTTAACCAGCTTGATGCAAACTAATAAAAAAAAGGGCTATAGCTCAATTTAAAAACAAAGTATTGTATGAACTTACACATTGCTGGCAAGTTTGAGCTTGACTGGGTGGTACAGAGGCTTCAGCCCTCTGCAAAGAAAAAGGTACTGTTTTCTAATGATAAAACATAAAAGGCAAATTCAACCACTAAGAGAGGGGATGCTTCATGTCCATGAAATTTTCCTCTCCATGAAAGGATTGATATGACACTGACTGATGCCACCAAAGGTTATTCTGCCTCCCCCCTCCCCCACCAGAAGTTTCAGATCAGTTCAAGTTTTCACATGCCCCTAATGTCAAACCACATACAGTAGTGTAAACAAATGTCAAATGTATTAGATGGACAACAACTGTTCCATGGCAAGGGAAGGAATAACCTTTAATCAAAACCCAAAACACCTACTTACCTTTTCTTCAGAGGACTCCAGCTCTCTTTTCCCTGCTTGCCTGGCATGGTATCTACAGATGTGTTTGATTTCATGCTTTTTGCATGTACAGGTTGGCATAGAGCTATAATACTTCTGGACAACAACAGAAACAGAAAATAAGTAGATAAGCATCAAAGCCATGCTCACAACTACTGCAGATTTACAAATGAAAATGGAACTGCACAGCTACTGACTTTCTGTATTAATTGGGTGGTTTGTCCTTGTGTGAGGATGAAAATAATGCCTGGATGTCTGCAGGACATCTGCCTTCTGGTACAAAACTGTCAGTTCTGATTTTGGATGCCTGTCTCCCAACACAATATATGGGAACTATCTGAAACCTCAGAACAGGATAAAACAAATAAAATATCAGAAGAAATGTTCAGAAACATCTGCCTGATCAGGCTCTTCAAGAAAAATTCTGGTGGAAGAAGTCACAGTTTATGGGTCTTATGTGTATGGAAGCTAGGTGCCTTGCACAGGTGCCTAGTCGCTGAAGACTGGTTCCGCAGGGCACATGCAAGAGCAGTACTCTAGAAGAAAACCAAGCTGATACTGAAACAATGCATTGGTAAAAAAAGCTGAAGTGTCTTCAAGGCATACCATACCGGTAGCACAGTGGTTTTGTGAGCTGTATTTAAGTCACCAGCAGCCCTTTTCTGGCTCCACAGTAAAGGTACTTGAGTATTACCCACTGCAAATTAAATCATAGAATCATAGAATAGTTAGGGTTGGAAAGGACCTTAGGATCATATAGTTCCAACCCCCCTGCCATGGGCAGGGACACTCACACTAAACGATCTCACCCAAGGCTTTGTCCAACCTGGCCTTGAAGAGAGCCAGGGACAGAGCGTTCACAACCTCCCTGGGCAACCCATTCCAGTGCCTCACTGGAACGAGGCACAGGAAATATCTAAGTACAGCTCTGCTGCCATCTGTTGTCACCAAAAATCTCCTCACAGGGTTACTTTTTTTGATCACAGGGACCAAAAAGTTCCAAAATATCTATTTTATTTCACTTATATTGTCATTGTCTCTGATTGTCAATACTAAATTTAACAAAAATAAGGCAAACAGCAATTGTTATTTCCAAATCCACTCCTTGATGTTACGCATACATCAACAGATGTGGTTGCTTGTATTGTGGTTTACTGTGGAGCTGTGTCCCAAAACATATCAATACTCTGACCTATTGCATAATGCTTCACAGAGCATTTCTATATCACAGGAAGTGAGCTGGATTCTTTTACATGACGTCACAGAGCAAAGAAATGAATTCAAACGTTTGGTAAGAAGCGTGGGTAAACTTTGGTCCCTTAGTAACTCTTAAGCAACTCAAATCACAAATTTAATTGTTTGCACTTAAGTACTTAAATGGTTATATTCAGCTGTGGATTTTTATTTGCACTTTGTAAACTTTACTCATGAACTTGTGGATCTGAGAATTCCCTTCTCCTCCCCCCTTTATAGCTTTTCTTTACAGAAGATGACTGAAGCAATATTTTCTTGTCTGATGCATAGATACAAGTCATCCACTGCTTGTTCAGCTCTCGTACTTCTAAAAGGGCATAGGATAAGTCTCTATACACCTATATTTTTGTTTAATTTTGTGTGAAACTATTCTGCCCCAATTGTTTTAGGATTAACTGGTTACTGTGTATGTACTGCTTCAAAATTATAAAGGAGTTGCTTAAGAGCTAATCGTCTCTGTGTTTAATTTAATTGAAGGCTTAGCCTCTGTTATTAACTCTGCAGACAATGAGATCTCTGCTGCATTACGATAACGGATCCTGAAGGGCATAAACAATGATGATAGAGTCTTCAGAGGCTTTAATGCAGTAGCTGGGCTTCAGGGCTGCGTTCACAACGACGAGCTGGCAGAGACAGGCTCCCAGTCCGTCTGCCCGGAAGAGTTATGACATCCGGCAGGCAGAACCAACATGAAAGCAGTGGAGCTGTGCATCTGCATGCTATACCTCTCGTGTTTCTACTGTGATAAGTTCCTACTTACCACAAAGATACAGCGCTGCTCTCATTATCCAATAGCAACATCCCAGCCTGAGTTTGCTTAAACAACATGGGGAAGGTTAAAGTTAAGTTTAGAGCAAATGTGTGACATGAAGCAATGTCTTTACTCAGGATTCAAACTCTGGCTTACTTCTGCCACCCAAAATGCACTGACCCTATTAGCCAGCATGAGCAGTTTCCACTGGTGTAGTGAAAGCAAAGGCTTACCCTGTGGTTATGCCACTCCACAGCACAGGTGCAGAGGTGCCTGGCAGCACTGGAAACAATCCTGTACACTGTGACACAGCCCTGCAATGGCTGGCACAATGTAACCTGTGATGTCTCTTTAACCATATTGCCTTGCCACCAGGAAGTGGAGAAACCCTCTGCTACAACTGACCAGCCTGCTGGTACTATGGAAAATGGCAACTGTGGTGTTTTATTATCTAAGATGGTACCAGTTGGTCAGTATAACCCTGCTGAAACCTACCATGTCGCCTACCCCATGATGGCAAATGCCCCACATTTCATCATCGTCACAGGCTCACTGGCTAAGCTCTTGCCACGCAGTGAACAAAACTGAAATCTAATTTTTGCAGTTTTAGCAGGAGTAATACAAACAGGCCTCTGCCTGGCACAGCATAAGCATTCCCCTTTGCATGGGTTTCAGGGTAAAACCTCACCTCACATTCCTTTGAGGCTTGATTCATCAAGTTCACAATTGAAGCGAAAGCTGCATTGAGACGTTCTGAATCTTCTTCCTGCAATTAAAGTAATCTTTAGTAACTCATAACATGATGTTCATTGCTTAGAGTTAGAAAGTGTCCGGTGTCCAGGAGGTTCCTTGACTGTGTGGAAGACAACTTCCTCCTGCAAGCAACAGAGGAGCCAACAAGGAGAGGTGCCATGCTTGACCTTGTGCTCACCAACAGGGAAGGGCTCGTTGGAAATGTGACACTCCAGGGCAGCCTTGGTTGCAGTGATCATGAGTTTGAGATCCTCATGACAGTGAGAAGAGCATGCAGCAAGCTCACTGCTCTGGACTTCATGAGAGCAGACTTTGGCCTCTTCAGGAACCTGCTTAGTAAGGTTCCATGGGATGTAGCCCTAGAGGGCAGGGGGGGCCCAAGACTGTTGGTTGATATTCAAGGATCGCCTGCTTACAAGCTCAGGAGTGTTGCATCCCAACTAGAAGGAAGTGCAGCGGGAGGGGCAGGAGACATCCTTGGATGGATAAGGAGCTGCTAAGGAAACTTCAAGGGAAAAAAGAGGCTTATAAAAGGTGGAATCAAGGACAGGCAGCCTGGGAAGACTACAGGGATGTTGTCCCGGAAGCTAGCGACCAGGTTAGGAAAGCTAAGGCCCAGTTAGAATTAAACTTGGCTAGGGATGTTAAAGATAACAGGAAAGGATTCTGTAAGTACATTGCAAATAAAAGACTAGGGACAGTGTGGGCCCTCTCTGGAAACTATCAGGGAACTGGCTACCCTGGATTTGGAGAAGGCTGAGGTTCTGAATGACTTCTTTGCCCCGGTCTTCACTGGCAAATGCTTTGACCACACCACCCAAGTCTTGGAAGGCAGACACAGGGACTGTGAGAATGAAGACCTTGTGCCCACTGTAGGAGAGGATCTGGCTCGAGACCATCTTAAGAACCTGAACATGCACAAGTCCATGGGACCTGATGAAATCCATCCGCAGATCCTGAAGGAGCTGGCAAATGAAGTTGCTAAGACACTGTCCATCATATTTGAAAAATCATGGCAGTCAGGTGAAGTTCCCGATGACTTGAAAAAGGGAAATATAACCCCCATGTTCAAGAAGGGGAAAATGGATGAGCCAGGGAACTACAGACCAGTCAGTCTCACCTCTGTGCCTGGCAAAATCTTGGAGCAGATTCTCCTGGAAGGCATGCTAAGGCACATGAAAATCAACAAGGTGCTTGGTGACAGCCAGCATGGCTTCACTAAGGGGAAATCCTGCCTGACCAATTTGGTGGCCTTCTATGATGGGGCTACAGAACTGATGGACAGGGGTAGAGCAGTTGATGTCATCTACCTGGACTTGTGCAAAGCATTCGACACTGTCCCACACGACATCCTTGTCTCTAAATTGGAGAGACATCAATTTGATGGATGGACCACTCGGTGGATAAGGAACTGGCTGGATGGCTGCACGCAAAGAGTTGTGGTCAATGGCTCAATGTCCAGCTGGAGACCAGTAATGAGTGGTGTCCCTTGGGGATCGGTGTTGGGACCAATCTTGTTCAACATCTTTGTCAGTGACATGGACAGTGGGATTGAGTGCGCCCTCAGCAAGTTTGCTGATGATACCAAGCTGTGTGGTTCGGTTGATACACTGGAGGGAAGGAATGCCATCCAGAGGGATCTCGACACACTTGTGAGGTGGGCTGATGCCAACCTTATGAAGTTTAACCACGCCAAGTGCAAGGTCCTACACCTGCGTCGGAGCAATCCCAGGCACTGGTACAGGTTGGGCAGAGAAGAGATTCAGAGCAGCCCTGCAGAGAAGGACTTGGGGGTGCTGGTTGATGAGAAAATGAACATGAGCCAGCTTCAGTGTGCACTTTGCAGCCCAGAAAGCCAACCACATCCTGGGCTGCATCAAAAGGAGCATGACCAGCAGGTCGAAGCAGGTGATCCTGCCCCTCTACTCTGCTCTTGTGAGACCTCACCTGGAGTATTGTGTGCAGTTCTGGTGTCCTCAACATAAAAAGGACATGGAACTGTTGGAACAAGTCCAGAGGAGGGCCAGGAGGATGATCAGGGGACTGGAGCACCTCCCATATGAAGATAGGCTGAGGAAGTTGTGGCTGTTCAGCCTGGAGAAGAGAAGGCTGTGTGGAGACCTCCTAGCAGCCTTCCAGTATCTGAAGGGGGGCTTTAGGGATGCTGGGGAGGGACTTTTCATTAGGGACTGTAGTGATAGGACAAGGGGTAATGGGTTAAAACTTAAACAGGGGAAGTTTAGATTGGATATAAGGAAGAAGTTGTTTACTGTTAAGGTGCTGAGGCACTGGAATGGGTTGCTCAGGGAAGCTGTGAATGCTCCGTCCCTGGTGGTGTTCAAGGCCAGGCTGGACAGAGCCTTGGGTGACATGGTTTAGTGTGAGGTGTCCCTGCCCATGGCAGGGTGGTTGGAACTAGGTGATCTTAAGTTCCTTTCCAACCCTAACTATTCTATGATTTTATGATTCTATGACTAAACAGCAAAACACTCGCTAGTCCTGGAGGGGAGACTCTCCCTTTGGGGGGTGAAAGAGCCCTGTGTGGCCACCGCTGTGGTGCTTGGCTTTACCGCAGTGTTCACCAGGCAGCGCCGAGGCACTTGCTGCACCCAAGAGGTGACCGGATGGAGCAGCGTCCCGCAAAGCCCGGTGAGTGCCGCTGGCTCTGACTAAATAAAGCGCGGGGTAAATAACCCAGCGTGAAGCCGTTCTACGAATTTCCGAACGCCCCCAGCTCGTTAAAGCAGACGGGCGGCTCAGTCCCACGCACACCTACATATACGTGTATATACATATATATGTACACGCATGCACCATCCCGCCACCACCTCAGGCCGCAGCTGCTCTGCGTTTCTTGTTTGTGTTCCCGCATTTCTGCCGCCACGGCTGCTCCCGCCCCGCCGCCCGCAGCACTGACCGGGTCCGGGTCCGGGCGCGGCTCCCGCCCCGCCGCCCGCCGCCGCCGTCGCGCCCGCTCCAGCACGTCGCGCGCCAGCCCCACCGTCCGCCCCGCGCGCTCCCCCTCCATCCCGCGGCCGGGCGCCTGTCGTCACAACGCGCACGCGCCGCCTTTCTGTCCCGTCCCGCCCGTTCATCCTCGAGCTGCCGCTAGGGGGCGCCACAGCCCCGCCGGTGCCCCACCGGGGCAGGTACCGCAGGGTCGCGGTCGTCCGCAGGCGCTGGGGGGGGGCTCCCACAGTGCTCCCTTAACGCCGCCATGCCCGAGGCAAAGCGACTGCCCCGGGCGGGCTTCCCGTGAGCTTCCTTCCTTCAGCGGAGCTGCTCTGATGGCGCCGGGCCCATGACGTGCCATTCCGCCGCTGTTCCTGCCCGGCTGCTACGGGAAGAGCCGAGAGAAGCTGGAGGGTGCCGAGCCGTGGCTGAGCGGGCCGCTGCTGGTGTGGCCAGGGAGTTTCACCCCGTGTTCTCTGTAGTAGAAAGCGGTACACTCTGGGTTTTATCATTTTACTTTAAACTTCTGAGGTAAAAACTACAGCATGCAGGGATGGCTGGCTGAGTGAAACAGTACTAGAGGGCAGAGTGTCTGCAAGCTATGGCTGCCTCTGCTCTCCAAAAGAAAGCCATTTCCCTTGGCTGGTAACCAGCACAATGTGCTTTGCCCTGCTGCAGGCCAGGTTTGCCATACAAGCCTGTGTGCTCCCTGGAAGCTGCCTCTGGCCCAGCGCGGCAGCACATGTGTGTGAGGTCAGCCCTACAGTCACCGTTCGGAGCCACCAAACAGGCTCCGAAACCAGCAGTGTCTGTGTGTAAATGGATGCTGCTCTGTTGCTCATCTCACTTGTGCAGCAGTGATGGTAAGAAGGGCAAAATAAACAATTTCTTTACATGCAGTATAGCTAAGGTTAACAAGTAGGCCCTGATTCTTTAAATCCTTCATTGTTGGTGGGGCTTTGCCTGATGTAATCTGTTTGCAAACAAGAAAAATAATCCTCTCCTAGTTTACATTTTGTTACCATCTTCCAATTGCTTAGCCAGAGCAGTAGCCAGCTCCTGTAATAAACAAGCCCTTCTTAGGCTGCTTGTTCATGAAAACACATTGAAGGCCCTAATTCAGTGTTCAAATACAACTTAGCTTTATGTTGATTCTCTTGTACTCTGAGGAATACGTAGGCAGTTGCTGGGGTGCCTGAGGTCTGGGGGCCTGAATGCAACATAAATGTGGGAAAAAAAAAATTAATAAAAGCAATGTTAACTTGTTAGCATGTTTGAAATGCTTGCTTGATCTGCTGGAGGAGCAGCCAAAATAGACTGCTTCCAGCTTAATTGGGAGCGGAGCATCCTTCCTTTAACATTATCATTGCTCTCCTGGAAAGGCAGATGGTTTGCTGTGTTCCTGCACTTGTGAAATGTACTCGGGAAGGCCCTCCTCTATGTTGTTTTCCTAACAGGAAAGAAAGTTATATTCATTTTATATTCCTTCACAGAACTTGCAGCAGTAGCTTGTTGTTCAGGAGGTAAATCATTCCTCATGTGTTGTAATGTAAACTCCCACCATTTTTTGATGTTCAGTGACACAGTTCTGTTTGCAGCTGAGTAAATACATCTGTCCCAAGAAGGCTGACAGCTGAAATAGTTTTTATTTTGAAACATGCATTCACATCAGAATCCAGATGAGAGTTACCCTTGTTTCCTGTGTGTTCAGTCTTTTGATTTCTTTGATGAGATTTCCTTGTCATGTGGGACAATGGATCAGAGTATCTTAAGACAATATCTTTTATTTTGTTGATGAGGTGGCAAAAGCAAAGAATAGTTTATCCTGAGTACCTGGCTCTGGGTTCCAAGAAGTATCCTTCTGTAGGGAAGCTCATAAGCATTTGCTTAATGCTGAGCACCATTCAGTTTCCATTTCAGTCAGTTCCAGAAATGTTAATGCTAAAATTTGGATTTCCAATTGCAGAATGCCTGTGTTGCTCATCTGTTTACGTTTCTTCTGTTCCTATTATCATTTGATTACTATATGGTGAAGTGACTAATAATGCTTGTTAGTGATAAATGCTTACGTAATACTTCAAGACATAGGTGCAGTGTTTGTATTTTGAAGTAGTTATGTTCTGCTGACATCTGGTACCCTGCCTCCTCTGTGTGGTTTTGATATCAGGCATCTTGTGTTACTTTATCACCCATTAGGCTGGCAGAAGCACGGGGACAGGTGGGCTGGGGCCTGTGTGAGGTAGGCAGGCAGGCGGGCGGGCGGGCAGGTATGCAGGTAGGTAAGTGCACTTATCGCCTGTGCCACACAGAGACCTCCTCCCCGCTCTGGTACGGGCGTTGCGCCGTGCGGACCTCAGAGTGCGCTCCCCGGGCGGCAGGGCCTTACAGAGCCGCTGTCGGGAGCTAGTCCTGGTAAGGCACGGGATTTGAACAAGGCACTAGAAATGGAGACCAGAGACAATCCGCTGCCTCCCTCTCCCCCCACCTCCTTCTCCACAGGTACTGCTCCTGTTCCCCACGTCCCGCAGCCCCGGGGGCTCGCCTATCCCCGGCGCCCTGATTGAAACCATCTGCTCTGCGCTCGGGCGCAGGAAGCGCGCCGCTCGCTCTCCTCCTTCCTTCCTTTCTTTCTTCTTTCCCTGCAAGCGGCTCCGCGCGGAAAGCAGCCCAGCACTCGTCGGTTTTAAATAAAAAATAAGCTCCTCTGGAGTAGAGGGAGGAGGAGGATTGTCAGACGGGGGGCTCAGTTCTCCCCTCCTCTGCCCATCGCATCTCCCCTCAGACTGGTCTGTCCTGCCCGGCGTCGGCTGGCTGATCCTCTTCCTCACGCCTGGCCAGGACCCGGTTTTGGGGCCGGAGGGAGGCGGCGCCCACCCTTCTGCGGTGCTGGAGCCGAGCACTGCCGAGGGGAGCGGTGGCTTTGGTGCTCGGGTCTGCCCGGCAGCGGCGGGGCTGCAGCCCTGGTCTGGCGGCGCTGCGGGAGCAGGTTTCTTTGTTGGCTGCCGGGTGACTGGTTCCCATTAATCTCCCGCACTGGCCGTGGCCGTCTCCACTTCCTGCCTTTGCATACTTCTCTCTCCCTCGATCTCAGTCCCTTCCCTCCCCTTTCCCTCCCCCATTTCTTTCTTTCCCTCTTCCCAGCTTCTCCAAAAAGGCTACAACCTCCCGGGCTGCGGGACGGGGGCTTCAGGGGGCCGGCGGAAGGGAGCGCATCCCTGCGCGCCTCGGTAAGGGCCGGGGAGCCGAGCTGCCAGGTTGGTGGTCGCCTCTGGGGAACTGGGCAGGGGAGCGGGGCTAGGGGGAGAAACGATTGATCGTGCTTCGGCTCGCCTTCCCTGCGCCCCAGAGAGCAGCCCGCCTCCCGGGAGTGGGGCGGGCCGGGGATGAGCGGCGGCCGGCGGTGGGGAGTCCCCGGAGCGCGGAGCCCCCAGGGCAATGGAGTCGCCGGCAACAGGACAGGACCCGTGATCCTTTCGGGTGTCTCTGCCCTGCTCTGTCTTGCTCTGCTCTGCCGGGGGGGGGAGCACAGAAGGCGTGGGGTCCTTGCGCACGGGCCAAGCGGGGAGTCCGTGCTCCTGCGGTGGGTGCTACCCCTGCCACCGCCGAGCCCAGCGGGGAATTTCTTCTCGCGTGTGGGGAGAGGGCAGAGGCACCCCGGAGGATCGGAGGCCAGGAAACCACCTCGGCGGGACCGGGTTGACTATACCCGGGCTGAGCAGCCAGCCGGCCGAGTGCGGGGCTCTGATCTGGAGGGGAACGCGAAGATGTAGCTCTGCTTTCCCCCTCCAGTGTCCACTCGCATCGTCTGTCCAATAGGCTGTAATGTTCGCATGCGTGTTGAAAAGAGTAGAGGAGCCACCTGGACTCCGGCGGAAGCCTTTAGGATCCCAAGACAGATTTAGCTGAAGAGCTAAGGGAGCTGCTTCAGCAGTTCACTTGGTGGGAAAATCAGATGTACTGCTCTTGGCTTGGTACCAAGCATTTGCTTTACTAAGGAGCAGCAGGTCACCACAATCAAAGAGTACCAGCTACGTATGAGAGAGCCTTCCTATATTTACTTCAGTTTTATCACTCAAATGTACTTTGAATTTTAGTAGCAAAGGTAAATTAATCTGGATGCATAGTGTTATTGCATGGAGTATATCAATAGTAGTGTTTTCTACACCCTTGTTTTACTGTAGCACTGGCTTTGGGGAATAGGTTTTCTTTCAGTTTTATTCCGACTGAGTAGTCAGTCTTTTAACTTCAGCCAGATACTGAATAATCCCGTAAAAACTACCTACAGTGACCCAAACTTGTGGAAGATAAAGGATGAAACCCTTATTTCTGATGATGCAGAGTAAGATGAATTGTAATGAGGTTGATTTGTCTTTAAGACTTAATAATATTTGTTTATACATGATGAATATATAGTCACTAGATGAAGATATTCCATATGGTGGAAGGATGAGTTAACAGAGCAGAAGTGGGAGTATCTTGCTTTTAATATGAGGTTTGAGAAAATCACATGTTTTGGGAACATCAGAATTTAACTTTCATTTGATGATTGAGTTATGCAGGTGATGGTGGAAATCTGTTACCATGTTGATGGGCAAGAGTGAGATACATGGCTTTGACCATTCTTTTCTCTCTTGCTTTAAGATTAGTTATTTAAAGGAAAACTGCAACACATTTAAGCAATTATTTATTATTTATCAAGTTAGCTAAGAATATTGGCAAACACCATTAAAGCAAGCTACAGCCTATACACTCTTAAGAGTGACTACACTGACAGGGAACTGCCATCTTGCTTCTGGGATGGAACAAGTTTTCTTTTAGAGTATGGGGGAGTGAGGAGCAGGGCTCCTTGGGAAGGGGTGATGGGGGGGGGATACTGGGCCTCACTGGGGCATGGAAATTGTCCTGCTCCTTAAAGTATATATCATGTATTCTCTCTTGTCCAGAAATGAGAGAGTCCTGTCTGGCCTGGCTTTCTTCTGCTTCCTTCAGGGTGCCAAACTCCCCCAGCCAGCTTGCACACTGGTGTTGCCCTTCCTGGTACTGGGAAGGAGAGATGTCTTCTGCCCTCTCCTACCC